TGTCTAAGCTCCGCCCCACAGTTACCTGGCAACGGCCTGACTCACTATAAAAGGGGCTGCTTGCCCCTTCCGTTCTCTTGTTCTTGCCTTCTTGCTCCCACTCCGTTGTCTTGCCCCTTCCCCCCTCTCTCCATTCCCTCCCTCCCTGTCTCCACGTGCTCATGGAAGCCTCTACTCCCCTACTCTCTCTCTTCTCTCTCTGCCTTTCTCTGCCTCTACTACCCTCAACTCCCCTCCCCATGCCCTGAATAATCTCTGGTCCTCAGGGGGAAGGGATGCCTCAGCATGGGCCAGCCAAGACAACCCCTTCCCCCATACCTGACTACACCTTCACAAAACATATTCCTCCTCTCCTTTTCTTTTTATAAAACACAACACTCAGTACTGATCAGTTTCTTTTTTCAAGTGTTTCTCTCTCTCTCTTTCTTTTGTTCTTTCTTCCTTGCTTCCCTCCTTCCTTCCTTTTTGAGACAGTCTCACTACGTAAGCCTGGCTATTGTATACTACTATACTATACTACTTGCTATGTAGACCAGGCTGGCCTAAACTTCACAGAAATCTGCCTGCCTCTATCTTCCAAGTTCTGAGACTAAAAACTTGCCCCATTCAACTATCTCTTTTGTGTATGGTGGCGTACATGTATAATCTCAATCTGGAGGATGGAGAGTTCTGGGCCAGCCTGGGGTATGTAGAGTTTTATGAGATATCTCAAAAATCCCAAAGTAACATTTATCTTACCATAAGGAGTGACTGAGTTGCCGGGCAGTGGTGGTGCATGCCTTTAGTCTCAGCACTTGGGAGGCAGAGGCAGGTGGATTTCTGAGTTCAAGGCCAGCCTGGTCTACAGAGTGAGTGCCAGGATAGCCAGGGCTACACAGAGAAACCCTGTCTCGAAAAACAAACAAACAAAAAAACCAAACAAACAAAAAAAGGAGTGACTGAGTTTATGGATAAGAACTTGGAGATTAGGGGACCAGTTATGTATAACGCAGAGCTGAGAGAAGTCAGACTGTTCTGTGTGTCTCTAGTTCACACAGGTCTAGTACAGATGGGCTGGCTCTGAAGCCAGATCTTACAGTAACTCCCTGGCTCCCTCAAGCTGAGCACTCTTCCTTGATTCACTTCCCATCTGCTGTAGTCCCTCTCTGGCTGAGGATGTGGCTCACTGGTACAGCGCTGGTGTGACAGGTTTACCCCTAGCACTGCCAGCTCTGCCAGGGAATGGGATGGGGGAAATAACATACTCATTCACTGCTTTGAACTCTTTGAAGATGTGTTTATTCACATATACATACATACATACGTGTGTGTGTGTGTGTGTGTGTGTGTGTGTGTGTGTGTGTGTGAATATATACCATGTGTTCAGGAGCTCGTGGAAGCTAAAAGAATGTCAGAGCCCCTGGTTACCAGAGGCCTTAAGCTGCCCAACAAGGGTGCTGGGAACCACACTCTAGACCTCTGGAAGAGCAGTAAGCACTTAAAAAAAGCCAAACAACAACAAGAAAACCAAAAAACCAGATTTATTTTATCACTTTTTTTTTTTTGGCACACCAGAAAAGAGCATCAGATTTTGTAACACATGGTTGTGAGCCACCATGTGGTTGCTGGGAATTGAACTCAGGACCTCTGGAAAAGCAGTCAGTGCTCTTAACCACTGAGCCATCTCTCCAGTCCCAGCAGTAAGCACTTTTAACCACTGAGCTATTTCTCTAGGTCTAAGATTTTGTAACGAGCAGGCCCTTAAACAGGACCAACTCCATTTTGTAATAGGAAACTTGTAAGACATGTCTGGACATGTCTGGTACTTGTAAAGGCAAGTCTGGAAATGAAGCTGTGCTGAGATAACCAGACACGAGTGGTTATCTGCCATATACGTCATCAGTAACTCCAAATTCAGCATAAAAGAGGAGCCTGTCCGGAGCACTTCATCACACTTGTAGCCATGACTGGCTAACGTGATCCTCTGGACAAAGCCTCCTCAGCACCAGGTCATCAAAGAGTTAACTGAGAGACCTATGCCTCCAACTTCAAGGCCAAGGGACTTCAAACCAAGAGACCAATGGCTCCAGCTTCGTGGTCAAGCACCCTGAGAGGTCAAATTAGCAATTCAACTATCTGGAAGCCACAGCCTGACCCCACCTTACCGGACTCCGGACCTGTAAACCAAAACCAACATAAGGACTCAGGTCGTATAATCTGTGAATGAATGATGTGTCTATTGTTATGCTTATTTTTGGTTATTAGCAACTTATTATTTGTGTTAATTGTGCATATTGTTAGAGGCAACCTATAGGAAATGTGACAACATCTTGTTGTAGCAATAGCCTTAGCATTTGTGTTTGCTTGCTATGCATTATCATTAAAGAAGGAACTGAATTCCACAAACTCTCTGTCTCTTGGCGTACTCTCTTCCCTCTCGAGGAGCTGATGATCTCACAGTCAAATCCAGTATACGATCCCTGAGTGGAGCAGGACCTGTCGCTCCTCTCCCCTCAGGGGATTCAAACCCCTTGCTCGTAATAGATAAGAGACCCTGCTCAGGACAGATTTTAAAATGTGTTTATGTGTGTTCTTATGCGGGAATGCACACAGGAACGCAGGTTGCTAAGGTTTCCAGGTGTTGGATCTGCTGAAGCTAGTTATAGGTTGGGTCCCCTGCAAGAACAGGACTTGGGGCTCTTAACCAGTCCCTTTTTTTTTTTTTTTTTGAGACATGGTCTCACTATGTACCTCTGGCTGTCCTGGAACTCATTCTGTAGACCAGGATAGCCTCCGACTCAGAGAGCCACCGACCTCTGCCTCCCAAGTGCTAGGATTGAAGGTGTGCACATCAGGCTGGTCTTGATTTCAGTCTTTCTACTTCACCTCACAAGGTCAGGGACTGTACCACACCATCTTCAAATTAAACCTTTAATTCATTCTCATTATAAAAAAATTTAAGTAGAGAGGTAGCAAAAAGTGTCCTTTATCCCTCAGAGTTTGTTACTTCTGGGACAGCAAGAGTGGGTGAAGGTATTTGTCCTCAAGCCGGACACACCTAGTTTTATCCCCAGGACTCACATAATAGAAGAACTAACGCTCAACAAGAGGGCAATTCTGACTTCCACGTGTGCTATAGGATGTTCATGTTCACACTAAAATGTTGCTTTTTAAAGGATTTACCACTTCCCTAATGAATGCTGTGTACTGGCCAGCAACTCGATAAAGACACTTGAGGACAGGAGGTGTGGCTAGGCCTTCCGTAGTCCAAAATAGGCATTAATAAACAACTGGTGAAAAGAATCCTTTTAAAAATCCTTAAAGCCTTAAGCCTCCGTACTTTACATTTTCTTTACATTTTTAGATCCAGACTTCCGCTCGCCCCTCCCCAGAGGGACTACTAGAGACCCGCCAAAGCTTCCTCTTTTCCCACCTTAATTAAAGAACAAAAAGACATCCACCTCGGAGTCCTCAGAGTGTCTGGTTTGTATTTTAGCAGGGTCTTAGAAGGAAATGACTTTTCTCTGAAACTGTGGCCGCCCAACCCAGCTGTGGCATTCTTAGACCTCGGGTAAACAGGAAGCTTCCTGCCTTGGGCCCTTCAAGTTCCTCCCTCAGACTATTAAAGACTGTTAATAGGCCGGTAAAAGGACAGCTGCTGGCCATAAAGCCAGCCTGTTCCTTAGAACCTGAGCAGCCAGCCTCCCAGGCAGAGGCCCGGCCTCCTCCAGGTGTTCTCGGCTAGCAGGGGTCCCCAGGTGGAGGCTTTCTCCAGGGATGCCCTCTACAGACAAAACAAGGGAGACCACAGCAGCTCTGTGGGGGGTAGTCACCCCTCCCAGGAGAGGAACAATCACTTCTGGTTATTCCCCAAAAAGAGGCAAAGTGAAGCAGAGAGAGACCAAAGGACTACAGCTCCTCCCACGCACTTTTTTTTGGGGGGTGGGGGGAGTCCTAGAATCTGCAGCTGCCGGTGAAGAGGCTGCAGTCTCTGCCAGCTGGAGGGACACTAGGGGAGAGGTGGTGTCTTTTGCCAAGAAGGGCACTTGGTGTCTTGGCAGAAGGCAGAGGGCTGCCCCAATCTGTGTGTACATTTTCAGTAGCATTTGACTCTGGACCAAACGCTTGGCTGTGCTAGTGCTGTGGTGATGGGTGGGAATGCTCGTTGGCCAGGCTGGCTGGAGGCTCCCACAGAGGGTGCTGGGCCTCGGCCAGGAGCTTCCCTTCAGCTGGCAAGTTGAGCTTTCTGTCACGGTTGGAGGGAGTGTGTCCAAATTCCAATTCTCAGCTTTCCAGAAGCCACTGCTGATTGCCATCTGTTTTGAAGAATGCTGCTTATTGGAATTTTTGGCCCAATGGTGAGTAAGAAGGATGACGACACCGAGCCAAGTTTCTACCTGGCTCAAAAAGTGCACAAACGCTGCGCAGCAGGGACACTGTTTTTTCATTTATACAGGGTCTTATTCTGTAGCTGCCCTCAAGCTCAACTCCGGCCTCAGCTCAATGCCCTGGAGTGTTGAGATAGGTGGGAGTCACCACATTCCTCAGGGTCAGTCATACTACCATTAGTAAGCAGAGGGAGCCAGGAAGCAGGGCAGATGCTACTACAGACAACCTTGGACTGACTTAGCTACAGTGTTCCCCCGTCAGTGCTGTGGTGTGGTGCCTCTGACTCATAATCAAGCATGATCTTTGAGAATGGAAAACCAGTCATCCTAGGTTACCCTTTTCCACCAGGTGTCATTACTCTCCCATGACAGCTTCTATTCAGAGTTGTTCCCAGGGGTGGTGGGGAGCCTGTTTCCAATTGATCAAAGGAAATGGAGGACTTTCCAATTAGATCACATGTGAGCCTCCAGGTATTTAGACTGTGATCTTTTGTTTAAGGTAGCCTCAAGATTTAAGGCCTAAACTACACCCCAGGGAAGGAGTCTCCTCAATTTCAGAGAAGGTAAAAGCTCTGAAGGTAGTTTTAGATCAAACAGCTGGACAGTGAGGAATAGGAGCCAATATTCAGAGTCTGCTCTGATTCAAATGACATTTATTATTGGAATTAGAGCCTCCCATGCTTTACGGCTGAGTTCTAGCCTCACCCCCTATAATTTATAGAAACTGGTTCTGTAGAGCCTGTGGAGCAGACTTTTTTACTCCCAGCCCTCAGGAGGCAGAAGCAGAGGCAGGAGAATCTCTTGAGTTCAAGACTAGCCAGATCTACATAGCAAGTCCTAAGACAGCCAAAGCTACACAGAGGGACCCTGCGTTAACTCTCGTGACCACTCCTCCTCCAGAAAAAGGTAATTCATTGCAAAAAAGGAGTTTTTATATTTTCATAGTCTGCAGAACACACACACACACACACACACGTGCACGCATACACACACACACACGTGCACGCATACACACACCCGCACCGTAAAAACTTGAGAAAGTTTTCATTTGGAGCAGGCGGTCTCTTTCCTTCTGTCACCACACCGCACTATCTCCACCATCGTGACTGGACCAGGTGGTTGGCCTGTGCTTTGATCAAACACTTACATTTATCCACCGGGCCAGGCAGCAGTGGCTACTGGCTTTAATCCCAGCACTCGGGAGCAGAGGCTGGTGGAACTTTTAAGTTTGAGGCCAGCCTGGAATCTACATAAACCTGATGTACAGAGTTCCAGGACAGCCAGAGCTACACAGAGAAACCCTCTCTCAAAAAAGAAAAAGACAAAGGCTTACACATGGATCAGTAGTAGGTTTAAGATTGCCTGATACTTTTTGACTAGGGAGATTTGAGACAGCTCCATTGAGTCACTCCCCTAAACTTGCCCCACCCAGCAAGAGAAGGGATTCCTGTGCTCACATTTTCCCTTCTTAACTGGCCTCCAGAGAGACATGAGGAGATCCTCCTGGAAGGTGCTCTCAAGGGTGTGCAGGCAGTCCCAGGCAGTGTGTCTTATAGCTTTCAGACCCTGGGTTAAATTTAGCTTCCAGCTTGTCCCTTGAGACTCCAGGTCAAGTCCAAGGCAGGAAGTTGCAGTGCAGAATTAGTCCCAGGAGCCAGTAGGCCAGGAAGTAGACTAGAAGGCACTTTGTGACTGGAGAGCAGGTCTTCCAGTTGTACAAGAGTTTCATGACACAGTTTCTGGGGGCTTTTTGTCCTGGTGGGGAATTCTCCTCAAGAAGCTTCTGAGGTGCCCTGTCTACACACCTCAACAGGGGTTCTTGGTCCTGAAGCAGGTGAGCTGGAAACCAGTACATGATAGGAGTGGAAGAGCCCAAAAATCGCGTGAGAACCTGGAAAAGCCGTGTTGATTGGACCATCAGTGATGTGGAGAATCATGGCCCGACAACTAGAAAAACCACACTGGAGAAGCAAATTCAGAAAAAGCTGCATATCTGCCTAATAATGATATATGTGTGTCAGCCAGACAAACCTTCAGTTACCAATAATCAGTCTCAGTATAGTTACCTCAATAACAGGCCAACCAATACTAAAAACTCCATGTGGTCTAACTTTACCAGTCTCTACAGTTTAGTCTGCCTTGGAAGTAGGAGCCTGGAGGCGCCTTATCCCGAGGGATGAGAACAGAGAGAAGCAGCAGGTCTCGGTTCTCTTAGTTCAACCTTTCCCATCCCACAGTTCTGAGCCAAGTCTCCAAGTGTTCTCACCTCCTGGCAAAGTCTGAGTTTGCCTGGCACTCACCTCAAAGCTGACCCCTTGCAGACACGGATTGTGATTCTCTCATGTCCCCTAACTACATGGCTCCAAGAACATCACACATTGTCAGAAATGGTCAGCGTAGGGACAAGACTTCCTTGGAGACAGCCAAGAACTTAATAATTGGACATAAAATCAAACCTCTGATCCTGTACTGTCACCCCCAAATCCTGAACAAGAGGACTATCTCCTGTGCTCAAGACACCCTAAAAGGCCAATATGGGCAGTCTGTGTGCTAAGGAAAGCTTCCCAAGAGAACTGATAGCTTATTTCTTCACCAATTTAAGCCAGATTAGATTATACTAAATAAAGGCAGGTTTATTGGGAAGCTGCACTCAGGTGAGTTCACTAGCCCCAAGGACCAAGGCCAGGGAAGTTGCCAGGGAAAAGAGGGGACAGGTGAGGGAGAGAGAAGAAGAGAAAGGGTTGAGTATGTGCAGAGAGAGAAGGGAGGAAGGGAGACAGACAGACCAAAAAGTCTGGATCATACAGGAGGAGCCTCTGGGTAAGGCAGGGTATGCCAGGTAGGGACTGAGGGATGCTGGGAGAACCAAGAAGTTGGTACTAAGTCTGCTTTAGCATGTAAAATATGCATCTCAGTGTCTTGTTCCTGGTGAAGAGTAAACAAGAGCCTCTTTTATTCCCAAGTTCCCCTGAAGGGGAAAGTGTGAAGTCTCTCATACCCTTTACACCTTTGCTCACGCTCATTCCTTCCCCAGTTTTTGTTTCAGAGACAGAATTTTATGTAGTGCAGGCTGACCTCAATCTATGTATATGAGAACTGATTCTTGAGACAGTTTTTTCATTGAGTCTGGACATACTGCTACACTGGCTGGCCAGCACACCAGTGGTCCTCCTGTCTCCCGTCTCCTCAGCACTAGGAGCACAGCTGAGCACCACCACAGCTGGCTTTCTTATGCAGGTGCTTAGTTGAGGGTGCAAAGTCTGTTTGTCAATTTAGCCCTCTCTCCACTCCTACATGCCTCTCATATGGGGAGTTGGTTTGTTTTTCACTCTTTAGAACCCATTTACATATGATGCCTTCCTTCCTTCCTTCCTTTCTTCCTTCCTTCCTTCCTTCCTCCCTTCCTTCCTTCGTGAGTTAAGTACTTTCCCACATCCACAATAAATACACTGAGTGTGTGTGGTCAGTTCCCTTCTTCCAACATGTGGATTCCAAGGCAGAACCCAGTTCAATCAGGCTTGGTAGCAAGTACCTGTCTTGCTATTTCGCTCCCCCATTATTTGAGAGCTGGGGATTGAACTCAGGGCTTCTCACATGCTAGGCAATACTCTACACAAGCTCTACTCCAAGCATAAGTGCACTACTCTGTCTGAACCTTTGTTTGGATTCTCGAGCAGGATCTTAATATACAGCTCTAGCTGGCTGAGAACTTACTGTAAACACCGGGCTGGCTGGCCCTTAATTTGGGGATGATTTCTCTGCCTCTGCTTCCCAAGCACTGGAATTACAAGTGCCTGTCACCACACCTGGGTGGATTTTGTTTTTTGAGACAGGGTTTCACTATGTAGTCCCAGCTAGCCTCAAACTCAAAGACCCAGCCACTGGGATTATTATTATTATTATTATTTTTATTTTTTTTTGGTCTTTTGAGAGGGTTTCTCTGTGTAGCCCTGGCTGTCCTGGAACTCACTCTGTAGACCAGGCTGGCCTCGAACTCAAGAAATCTGCCTGCCTCTGAGTGCTGGGATGAAAGGTATTCTCCTTGCAACTGGCACCCAGCTATTTTTTTTTTTTTTTAAATCTCCTAACAGCAGTACTAAAATTTGAAACAAACAGGGCCTCACAAAGGCCCAGGCTGGCTTCAAACTCACTATGTAGTAGAGTGAACTTAATCTTTTTTGTCTTTTTGAGGGAAGCAGGGTCTCCTATGTACCCTTGGCTTGGCTGGAACTCACAGAGCTCCCCCCACAATCTCCCCCACCTCCCAAGTGCAGGGATTGCAGGCAGTCTTATGCAGTACTGGGGAAGGACCTGAGGTCTTCATGCATCCTAGGCAAGCAGTCTACCAAGTGAGCTTCATCCTAGCTCCTAATGCTATCTGTTCACTGCGCCTGTCTCTGTGCATCTCATGGGACTCACTAAGGCAGTAATTCTGTCCTACTCATGTTCTGATTTAGATTCTGGAACAAAAAAAGCCTCAGGTTTATGTTCCTCTGGTTAGATAGCTTATGGGGGTTTGAAAATTGCTTTGTAGCCCAGGCTGACCTTCAACTTAAAATCCTCCTCACCTATCCTCCTCAGTGGGGGGATTACAGTTGTATCTGATCACATCTGTCTGCTCTAACAGCTGTTGACTAAATGAAACATTGACTACTGAGTGTGAAAGCTAGCTGTCCTCCCTGATCTTCAGGTTCTACCTGTACCCACACAGCCACCCAGGCAGGAACCCACCTCACCTGGACATGCATGCACAGACCTCCAAAGATCAGCAGCGCAGCAGCGTGGACCAGGTACACAAACACCTTTGAACTGAGGAAGCCAGGATGGGGCTTCTCCCTGTCCTCGGTCCTTTGCAGCCCAAGTGTAAGGCAGAGCCAAGGGTGGGTGGTCACGTATGTCCAGGTTGCCCACACAACCAATACAGTCACTGGTGTAGCTAGTAAAAAATTGGGCACCTGTCTGAGCTCATAGTATCGCAGAAGGCCAACATTCCAGTAGACATCCTGAATATAGTTGTATATTAGAGGAAGATCCCAGGAGCACCATGGGGGCTCACTTTCTCCTGCAAGCCGGTAGCCTTTGTCCGAAGCTAGCTGCAGCAAGGGCTCAGGGATGGAGTGGGCTGAGCCTGGTAAACAGAACTGGGTGTAGGCATAATACTGAAAGAGGGCAAAGGGAAGGCTGACTGTGAGCACTGACAGGCACAGAGAGGCCATCAGCTTGATGAGCTGTTTCAAGGGGCTCAGCACCACCAAAGAAGAACAAAAGACTTTGCACTGAGAATGCAAGAGGAAGCCAACGCTGACCAGCCCATTGGAGCGCACCCCAGCGGCAAGAGCAAAGAGCAGCCCACTAGCCCAGCCTCGGCCCCTCTCCAGCTGCCCCATGGCGCTGAATGTCAGAAAGGCAAACAAAGCTTCCGAGTAACCAGCTGCCAAGAAAACATTGGCAGGGCTGAGGCAGAAGAGCAGCGCGGCACAGAAGGCCTGGCGAGGACAGTGCAAAACCAGACAACCCAAGTCATGAAGTGCGACTGCAGCCAGCACAGAGAACAGGAAGTTGAGAAGTGCTACTGAGACCAGTAGGCAACTGCGCTGGCTCAAGAGGCCCTGCAAGGGTCTCAGCAGTTCAGTCCCCATCAGCAGGGCCAAGGGGAAGCCAGGGAAGAAGGCAAAGCTGTGCTCATAAAGGTAGCCGTGCTCAGCAATAAAGAGGAAGTGTTCAGCATCCCATCGAGACAGACCACCCAGAAGGCCTTCCACAAGCTGGTCCACAGAGCCTGAGGGGCCGAGGCGGGGAGGAGAAAAGGCATCTGCATGGTGATCTGGGATGATGATATTGAAGAGTGCCTGTGGGGTGAAGAACCAGGATGTTGGTGAGTAACTGCAAGAAAAGAATTACCTCTTAATAAAATACGAAGAACAGATTTGTTGGCCTGTGTATGTGTGTGTGTGTTGTGTGTAGGAAGGAGCGCCAATGCTAACTAATTAACTCTAAGTTTGACACTAGTGCAGAAGTCATCCAAACAGGAGATGCCCGAGTCTACACTAGAAGCCAGCTCAGGATTCATACCAATCGGATATGGAGGCAGGAATAGCATTCTCAGTGTGAGACTGAAGAAGCCCGCCTGGGAAGGAAGTAAAGGCAGAAAAGAGCTCTGAGGATGGAGCCCATCAAGGATGAGGACCCAGCATGGAGGGAAAGCAGGAAGCCAGGCGTGTTGGCATAAGCCTTGACTCTCTGAACTCAGGAGTCAGAAGCAGGCAGACAGCTGTGAGTTCCAGGTACACAAGCAGGAAGAGAAGTGAGGAGTATGAGGTGGGAAGCCCAGAGGAGAACGGTGTCTTAGAACCAAGTGAAAGCCATGACAGAGAAACTGCTGACAGGCCCAGTAAGAGGAAGTGAAGCTGACCACAGACTTTAAAGACTTTACAACATCTTTAAAGGTAACTGATGCCGGTGGTGGTGGCGCACGCCTTTAATCCCAGCACTTGGGAGGCAGAGGCAGGCGGATTTCTGAGTTCCAGGCCAGCCTGGTCTACAGAGTGAGTTCCAGGACAGCCAGGGCTGCACAGAGAAACCCTGTCTCGAAAAACCAAAAAAAAAAACAAACCAGAAGGGTAACTGGTGAGGATTAAGAGCTATTTCAGCAAAGTAGGGATAAGTGAAGCTACCTACCTAACAGAAAAGAGGAGACTGTGCATGTGATGATCTTGAGTCCTGCTGTGAGGATGAAGGGAGAAATGGGGTAGTGGGTCCACCAATGTATAGTAAGGACAGTCTCATGTATGGGGGTCAAGGGTCAACCTGCAAGAGAGCTGAGTGACCTTCCCCCAGCATGCCCAGTGCTGGTTATGGGTGTGTCACCAAGCCTGGTTGGGGTGAGGAGGTGGTTAGAGGTAAATTTTTGCACATCACTGAAATAAGCCAGTGGAAAGAAACCACTGAACATGCAGGAGGCAGGAAAGCATACTGGGCAGGTGACAGGCAGCACCTGCTGGGCAGATGAGCCAAGAGATCGGTTCCTCCCGTTCCAGTAGTAAAGCCACACAACACACGTAGGTAGGGTGAAGGATGTAGCAATTTAATTCTCCTGAATTTTTATCTAGGAATATTAATTACTACTTCAAAGAACTGGAGGAAATTGTTACGGATTTGAAATAGCTCATCAAGTCTGGAGAGAGAGCCTAGCAGTTAAGAGGCTCTGCTGCTATTACAGAGGACCCAGATTTGGTTCCTAACACCTACAGGGCAGCTCACAACTGTCTGGATCTCTAATTCCAAAGACTCTGCTGCCCTCCTTTGGCACTGTATACATGTGGTATGCAACATGCACATAAGCAAAATACTCATACACATAATAAATCTTTTTTTTTTTTTTTTTTTGGTTTTTTGAGACAAGGTTTCTCTGTGTAGTCCTGGCTGTCCTGGAACTCACTCTGTAGACCAGGCTGGCCTGGAACTCAGAAATCCGTCTGCCTCTGCCTCCCAAGTGCTGGGATTAAAGGAGTGCGCCACGACCGCCTGGCTAATAAATCTTTTTTTAAAATTGTGGCTTAAAGTTGGGTTTTGTACTAGAACTACCAGGAGTTTACATAACACTGACAGCCCCCAGGTCTTTCTCTTAGTTACTTAAAATAAGACTGGACAGAGTATGGGCATTTGATTTAAAAAAGAGCTACACTTTTATTTATTTTGTGTTTATGGTGTGTGCCATGCGTGTAACATTGCAGGATAGCTTGTGGAGTTGGTTTTCTCCCTCTACTACATGGTTACAGAGACCAAATTCAAATTTGAAGGCATGTGGCTAACTACTGAGCCATCCTGTCAGTACTGGATTTTAGAATTTTAAATTGGATAATACATTTTTATACATTCAATTTTTTGTGCTAGAAAATAAAACCCTGAGCCTCATACATTAAGCACAAAATCTACCTTTGAGCTGTATCTCTATCCAGCACTGCAGTCTGTAAAAAGTCCCCATGGAACTGATGTGCAGAAAACATTTAAGACAACAGGAGGTGAGTGGGCTATGGAAATTTATCAGGACTTCCAGGTGGTGGTAATGACTCACTTGATTTTTTTTTTTTTGGTTTTTTGGTTTTTGAAGACAGGGTTTCTGTGTATCTCTGGCCATCCAGGAACTCACTCTGTAGACCAGGCTGGCCTCAAACTCAGAAATCCGCCTGCCTCTGCCTCCCAGGTGCTGGGATTAAAGGCGTGTGCCACCATTGCTCCGGCGTTTTTTTTGTTTTGTTTTAAGAAGGCTAGTTAAGGGCTGGAGAGATGGCTCAGTGGTTAAGAGCACTGACTGTTCTTCCAGAGGTCCTGAGTTCAATTCCCAGCAACCACATGGTGGCTCACAACCATCTGTAATGGGGTCTGATGCTCTCTTCTGGTGTGTCTGAAGAGAGCAATGGTGAATACATAAAATAAATAAATCTTTAAAAAAAAAAAAAAAAGAAGGCTAGTTAATATACTTGCATTTTTCATTGGAAGCTGTAGGCATGGAAGAGGCAGGTCATGATATTTACCAAGACTAGACTTTTGTCTCATGAGTGAAACAGGGGTAACAGGACAAGAGAGCTTGAATGTACACATGGGTATGATTACCACAATGGAGCCAACTCCGCTCTGTGACAGAGGAAGCCGAAGGCTAAAGAAACCTGGGAGGTTCCACAGGTTACAAAGCCAGAAAGTGAAAAAATCCGATCTGCAGGAATAGGAGTGAGCTTTAGAGACAGGAGAATGGTCAAAGAGGTACAGGAAACAGCTTCTCTGGCAGGAGCTGCACTTTGGGAGCAGTGAAGACAAGATCCCTGAAAGGCAGCAGGATGATGACGTGAGGGATCAGGCACGGAATGTGTCATCTTCTTAGGACTGAAACCGCAGACATCAACAGAGGCAGGGCAAGAACGGGTGCCAGGGAACGGAGTTACACCTTCAGAGAGTAACTGTCATCGAGAGATACCAGCAACAGCGGAGGGGAGCTGGGGCTGTAACCTGATAGCACGCGCTTTACAGCCGGAAGGGTTAGGAGAAAGAATGAAATCAATTTATTGTTATATGTCTTTCTGCCTCATTAGGTTGTCAGCTACTTGAGGGAAAACATGACCTTTTGCTCACAATTTAGCACAGTTACTATAATTTTGGTGGCTGAACTTCAGGGATTTGAGGAAATACACTGTTTCCAAGCTCACACTGCCTGAGAGCCCAGCTGCCCTGACTGCCCTTCCCAGATACTGCTCTTTTAGTTCTGCCAGGAGCTCAGCTGATGCTGGGTCAGAGCCATCACTGAGTCAGGCTCCCCAGCCCAGCAACAAGACCACAGCTCACTTAAAGGATCTTTCTCTTTTTGTCAGTTTCTTCATCAGGTCACTCCAGTGAAAAGAAATGGGACAGGGTGACAATCACAGGTAATTCTTTAATCCCCAAAGTCAGCAGAATCTGAAATGCTTCATATAATAGAGGAGGAAAGACTCAGAGCTAGAAGCTCAGAGGAGGTTAAAATAGGGGAGGATAGAAAAGGTTTCTACAAAGGAAGCAGCTAGGAGCCCCAGATATGAGTGACATAGAGACACATGTCACTATGTCAACTCAGCAACTCTAGGGTGGTAGCCTCTGTCCATTCACAATCATAAACTCGGGACCCCAAGTACAGAGCAGTACACTAGGCACCAAATAATTCATATATGTGCCATTTTGATTAAAGTATGTATCAAGGCAGCCTGGGGGAAGGGACTGGTAAAAGGGCAAACATACTGAGAACTCATGACCTGAGACGAGGAGAGGGGTCAGTACTGTGGATATTCACGGACGGTCTCAGAACTTGAAAGTGGCTCCTCTCTCCCATTCAAGTAACAGAAACTGAACTCCAAGAAAGAGAGGTCTGTGCAGAACTTTGAGTTGTCACACACCTTAAAGGTATCTCTGTTGGCAAGACCATCAGATAGCTAAGGCTGTTGGGAAAACCTCTACTTTGGGTAGGGAGCTAGGGAGTGTGGGGTCTTTAGCTTTGGACAAATCATTTAACCTGTCTGGGCCTCTGCTGCTTCATGTGTAAGACAATGAGCAATATACTGCTTAAGGCACTGCTTAAGGCCCACTTCTCAGCTGCCAGGTCTCAGTCTGTATGTGTTCAACCACATGCTGAGGCACAGGAGGAAGTAGAGAGATGAGGACCACTTATTCTTCCCTCCTAACTCAGTCACATAGCAAGAGCATGCTCAGAGAAAGGATCAGAGACTGACCTGTAGCACTAGAGTCAGGATTCGGCAGCTTACTGCAAATCTCAGCACCTCTTTCTGGGATGGGTCCAGGAGCCCCATCCTCTCACCACCAGGACTGAGCTTCCTCAGGCTCCTAAATTCTAACACCCAAAGAAGAAAATGTCACACACAGGCCAAAAGCAAATCAATAACATTTTCTCAAAAAAAGCCACCCACTTCAGCACTGCTATGGCAAACATAACCACCTGACTTCCCAGTGGGAAGACTTTATCTTGAAGGCAGATGGGCCACTGGGTGTCACTGTATTCTAGTCAGATAAGTAATACACAGATAAGCACAAAGCTGGAAAGCTAAGCTCACAGAACTTTTAAAAGCCCGTTGAAATGATTTATGTAGGACTCAAAGACCTGGGTTCAAGGCCCAGTTCTGTCGCTTGCAAGTTCTCTCTTAGTCCCTCTGAGACTCAGTCTTGTATGTGCAAACCAGGACACTGTTCTCCACCCTCTAGCCTCACAAACTCATCATCATGGTAAAATGGACTGAACTTCACAGTACCACACAAATCAATGTTGTGGCTGCTATTATTTGGCTGTGCCCTTTTCCCTTTTGCCCAGAATAATAAATGAATTTCCAAACCATAGTCCCTGAAGTGGGGCACAGAACCATCCTAGAAGCCTGTAATAACTACACATGCCAGCTTCACTCTCTGATGTGTGTTCAGCTGGTCTGTTAAATTAAGTGGAGAAGGAAAAGAAAACCACACTGCTCAGCAGGACTTCAGCCAGCTCCTACTGCTAAAACAAACTTAGGGGGAAGACAGAGTCTACCACTAGGGATGGAGTAAATACCGACGATTTCCCATCTCTGCGGGAGTGGCAGCAAACTCACACAACATCTCAATGTCATTCTGAGGAACAGAATGTACATCAAGGCACTTAAAACAACAACAACCACCACCTACAATTTAAAAGCAGTCATGGCTCTCACTGCGTTTAAACAAGAAGAGCTAGAGCCCCTCTTCTCTCACTAGACTAACACCCTCTAAACTTTTAGGCTTTGCTTGCTTTCTGGAATTTTCGGATCCCACCAGACAGCCCTATGTTCTCACTTCCTCTTGCCCTGACATCCTTGTCTTCCTATCTGTTACTTATGAGGTCAGGGGTCTTGCATCTTTACTATATTCCCAAGACCTAGCATGTAAATGGACATCTGTTCTGAAAGAGCAGAAGCAGGAAGGACAGGATAGAGAATCACCAGTTCTTTGACTCTCTATCTAAAATCACTGGTCCAAGCACCCCTCCATTGTGTTTCATGTTAAAAAGCAAGTTGGCCCAGTGGGCAGAGGCTCCTGGCACTATAGTGACCCACAAGGCTGAAGGAGAGAAGACACTCCCAAAAAGCTGTTCTCAGTCCTCACTTAGGTGTGCCATGGCGCACCTGTAGCCATGCACATATACATAAACGTATGCACACAAAATAGAATTAAAAAACAAAAAAGCAAATGACAAACTCACAGAAAGCATGGGAGAGAATAAAAACTCCGCCAAGGGAACAAGACTGGTTAACAGCGGCAGTAACCCTTCCTCGGCACAAGGGGGCACCTGCTGCTTACTACTTCACCAGGAGACCGGAGAAAAGGAGGCCTCCTTCTCACCTCCCAACTCCATGTCGGCTTAGGACAATTCAGTTTAAAGTTAAGCTTCTGAACATCCCCAGGAAACAGTGTTTTCTGACTCCACACGATATCTCCAACATTGGACTCACTAAATCCAAATAAATCACAGGAACATGCACACCCAGGTCCTCTGCCCCAGGGTGATTTTTTGTTGTTGTTGTTCCGCATGCACAAGGGAGGCAGGGAAAGGAATAGTACTGAATCCACCTCTGCACCTTGATTCTCATTCCCTCCCTCTTTCAAACTCTGGCATCAGTGGCCATAGGAGATGCAACCCACACTCAATTTACAGTTAAACCAAGTAAAATCCAGACAGTCAATTACCTCTCTAGCTATTTTGCCAACACCCCTTTGAAAGAAGCCCCTTGCCAAATCAGACTCTTAACTAGCAGGATGCTTAGAACCAACTAGTTTCATCCTTTAATTTTCTCGTAAGATAGGCTCCAGAGAGCTCATTAGACACCAGGTAAGACCGTGTAATTACCATCGCCATTTTATGGATGTGAAAACTGAGGCTCACCGGAGCCAAGTGACACGCCCACCACTTAAAGCGCCTCATGCACTGCTTTCTAAAACCTATGCTCACAGTCATGAGAACGTTTTGCCATAAACACAAAGGGTATACACTCCTTTCCAACCAGGACATTCAAGGCCTAGCTCAGTACTTTCTCCAACGATAGCGCATGTTGTTGCTGGAAGCTTATGGTGATGGGCCCTCTCTGGGAAAATCAGTTGAACTGGAGTCCTGGACTCTCTGGGTAAGGCTAATATCCTCAATGGGTGATGCGCTCTGACCCAGAAGCCTCGCGGATCCTCCTTCTGCTAAGCCTCGCGGTACTGGGAGCCCGTACAGGCCTGCTCTTTTCGGACACAGTTCCTACCCGAGACCGGGTAGTGACCCTCACCCCAAGGGAGCCACGGCCCAAGGATTCGTCCCGAGGGAAACGCGCGGGGCCGGGCCAGGCAACAGGGCCGGAAGCAGACGAGAGCCGGAGGCCGCAAAGGAAGAGGCGGCGCCGGAGGCCGCTATGGCGGAGGGGCGGGGCCCCTCGCTTCTCTACAGCCTCCGCCTAATTTCTCTCGGCCTCCATTTGACAGCTTCCCTCCCCGGAGAACTCCAGAGCTCTAGAACTGGCGCCGGGTCCTCCGCGCCCGCGCGTCCAGACCACCCCCGCGGAGCTCCAACCTCAGCGCCTCCATCCGGGTCCCGTTCGCCCCGCGCCTGCGCGCTGGATCCGCCGACGGCGGCCCCGCCCCGCTCCTGCCCGGACTCGGAGCGCCCCGCCCCCCTCCTCGGCGGCCATGTTGACCCGAGTTAGGGCGGGGGCCGAGGCTGTGCGTCGCACCTTCCCGGCGTGGTGACACCTGAGGAGTATGCCTCTTCGCTCGCCATCAGTTTGTGCGCGGGCGCTGCGCTCCCAGTCGGGGCTCTCGCCCCAGTCCCCTGCCGTAAGCAGTCTCTGACTTTCCGGTGTGGGCCGAGGCTGGACCGGGCACTGCCCCAGGCCTATTCACTGTAGCCAGAACCGCGCGTTCTTTCCCGTCCCGCCACATCAGCTCAGCACAGGACCTGACACACAATAGATAATATGAATAGGCAAAAGAAAGCCTTCTTGGGGTTTTTGTGGCAAGCAGCGGTACCCTACGCCTGGGTGAGAAGAAAGTAGGGGAATCCCCCTGACTTTCCCCTCCTCTGGCTATGAAGGACCTCTGCCCTGCTTCAGGTCGCAGTCCCACCTCAGGTGACTGTATAGGACGAGGAAGGAAACCTCAGAGAACACCCCCGAGGACTCCTCCCTCAAGCAGTTTATGTCGCAGGAACTGGCCAAAAAAAGAAAAAAAAAAAAAGGAAGCTAATTCAACAAAACCGGCTGTTGGGGAGGAGCGGCCAGTTGGTACCCCTGTAACGGAAACTGTTAGAACAACTTTGCACCCTCCTTAAAGGAAACAGATAATAAATCCTTCTCCGTTGGTGGATTTCTTGTTTCTCAGGATTCCAAAGCCTTCTGTGGTTTCAGTTATCTGTCCTCTCAACGTAGCTTGGGTCTAGGTTAACCTCTGGCCACAGCCCTGGCTGAGGGAGGGGTTTATCTTCTGCAACAGCTACAAATGTGGGTGGGAACAAAGAGATGGTCGCTATCTCTCCAAGCGAAGAAAACTAGCCTACATCAGTTCGGTGGGGGCCAGGAGCTGTATCTTTCTATCATGTCAGGCCCTGGTACGTCAACTGCCCCTCGGATGTTTGTGTGTAAGGTGGATAATGTATAAGGCACATTTTAATGGTTGGTAAAGAGAAAACAGGAGTTTACAAAGTCACTCTTCCAGAGTTTTACGCACGGAAACAACGCATTTGTTGCCAAATCTCTGAGTGAAATGTCAGTGCCTCTCTGGGCACACTTGTGACTAGGGCCCAAGGTTGAGACTTGACTCTCTAGAGTCTCCGCAGCCCTCTGCCCTTAAAGACAAAACGGAGACATGAGCCACCGTCCTTGCTTTGTGAATTCACAGGGGAAAACGGCATGCATGCTTAAGGTTCTGTCTGTCCATATAGAATTCCCGCAGAATCTGCTTGTAAAAAAGGGCAGGGGTCCTTTTGAGAGAAGTGAGTGTTTGCTGAAACACCCTTCCTCAGGAGGTAGAACTTTGTCTAGATCTTCAGTTGCACTTGGCTGCAATTTCTCCTTCCTTCCCGTTCCAGCCACCCAACCCCCTTCTCTTCTGCTCTGTTTCCCGTTTCATTTTCTGGCTTCTGCTCCTACAGAAAACAAGGAAGCAGAATCTTGTGCTCTCAAAGCCCTGACACTCTGGCTTTTTGGACTGGAAGGTGTCAGGATGGGATGGGAGGGGGTCGTGGGACTCCAAGGCTGTGAGTGAGAGGTGAAAGAGACAGCACTGAGCAGTTTGCCTTCAGAGCCTACAGTTAAAAATGGAGTCTGCTGAGCCACTAGAAGGAGAGAAGGCAAGGGAGACAGGCAGCCATGTGCCGGCCTCCAGAAAGAGCACATCTCCCACCTGGCATTAGGAAGAAAATACCTCACACTATAAGGCAACAGTTTTACCACAAAGATCTCTAAGCTGATCAGTGTAAGCAATGTACATTCTAGAAACTTAACATTCAAGGGGATGACACCATTTTCGTCCTTGGAACTTGTCTGCCTCTGTATTTGCTGATTTTCTTGCCTGAAACATTATCACACCAGACTACCTTTTGCCTTCAGGGACAAACTACCCATCCGAATCCACCACCCTGTTCTGTCTGTCCCTGTTTTAACATCATCCACTTCATCTTGTCCATGACATTTTGGTACTTGTTTTCCTCTTTTGGAAAAATTAGCTTCTGTATATAATGGAAGACCAGGGCAATCTTTCACCCAAGTGTTAGAGCACTTGAGAGGCAGCTTGGACAGGGAGTATGAGACATTTGTCCTAGACTTTATCACTAGCACCACAGAAATAACAGCAACAAAACCCACTGTACTTTGTCTGTTTTGTGTCTGCTGAATTTAACTTGATTTTAACTTGATGCCGTATTTTACAGACAAGGAAACTAAGGCTCACTAAGGGAAGTGGCCAAGGCCACAAATGTTTTGAAGTCAGGTCCCAGCCTTCCAAGTTGGTTCAATTAATATATTGTTGAGAACAGTCTCTTGAAAAACAAAACAAAACAAAACAAAAAACAAAACAAAAAAAAAAAAAAAGAGAAGAGTCTTACTATGTAGCCTAGGCTGGCCTCAAACTCATGGTCCTCCCTACCACAGCCTCCTGAGGGCTAGGGTTATTTACACGTGTGAGGCACCATGCCCAACTGCTTCATTTTACTGTAACTGTTCCCAAGTTTACACCTGTTTACCTCTTCCTGGCTAAGGACCTTTAGGAACTGTATTTCGTATCATATATAAGGCATAGCAAGTCCTAATAGCACCTACCTTCTTTTTCTTCCAATGGAGCCATACCATGACCCAGGCAATGGGGAAGTCCCCCTGAGGAAGATGTGTTCAGTCCTTGCCCTCATAGGATTTTTGCTTAAGTAGCATAAAATACTCTTTAAAAACAAGCTGTCCTAACCCTATGCCCAGAGAACAGTTCTCCCACGAGAGAGAAGTCAGGTTACCTCCCTGAAGCAATCTGATAACTTTATTCCTCCTTGTAGTTTCCCTACCTTGTCCCTGCTCCCACACCTGAGGTGACCTGGGCCTCAGACGGAGGGGAGGGGAAGGCAGGGGAGAAACAGCCCAGTGTATGTATCTGTTCTCTCTAGTTGTATTTCCGGGCATTAAGCTTTTTAACCCCCCCTAATTCTGAGATTGCAGTAGCTGACTCTGATTTGAAACAAGACACTGGACTCAAAAAGCCTTAGTGATGAAAAGGACCACAGTTTGTGCTTTCTTTATTGGTTGTTCAAGACGGTTTCTCTATGTAGCCCTGGCTGTCCTGAAACTGGCTCTGTAGATCAAACTGGGCTCAAACTCACCGAGATCTGCCTGCCTCTGCCTCCTGAGTGCTAAGATTGAAGGCATGTGCCACCACTGCCTGGCCACCCTCTGATTCCTTACCATCTACAGTCAGTGGGCTAGTCTAAGGCTCGTGATGAACAGAAGTCATACCTTTCCAGAACTTGATACTTCTTTTGGCTGAACATAAAAAATCACCGACTGATAGTTTCCAAGGATGCAAGGTGGTATTTACAGCCATCTTGACATCAGAGATGACACCAATTAGGTCTCAGACATTTGCTAAAAGTATCCTGTTTGACCTCTGCCATGTCACTTGAAGATGCTCACCCACCCCAGATTACTAAGACCTGTCTCCAGGTGCAGTTACCAAACATGGATGCTTCAAAAACTACAGTCATGTTACTAAAACACTTCCTTCAGTGTTTGCCTTTCAATAGTTAGAAACCTTGACTCCACTGAGAGGCATGGTGGGAAGGCCTTAGCCCCTTGGGGGTGGCAGTGGCTGCCAAGCAAAGGAGCCAATGAGTTTCAGAGTATTGTTTAGGCAGGACTTGGCTGCTGTCCAGCTCTGAAAGAAGGTTAAGGTCATTTGGGGGTGGGGGAGGGAGGAGCCTGGGAAAAGAACTACTAGCCACACCCCGGGTTCTCTACTGGCCAGGTTCTATTTACTTCTCAAAAGCCAATTACTCACAGCTCACTGGTCAGCAGTCCTCTTTGCCAGTGGTTCCAGTCAGAAACTGGAGACTGGGCTAGGTTGTCCCCGGAATTGCAGGAGAGCAGATGAAAGGAGCCCAGGAAACCGAACTCCTAGGTAATGCTCCACACACAGCCCAGAAATGCACTTTCTAGACTAGGAAGCGGGAACTTAAGAGTTCCATTACAAAAATAGCTACTGGTATTACTAAGTAAAATAAAGATATGAAAAGTCCCTCCCCCACCCCCTTTAAAATGAGAAACCATCTTGGTTGTCAAAGGTTTCTTCCTCAGTAAGTTCTTATTCCTCATTCTTAATATTAACAGCCACATCAAGTCTGACGACAAGTCTGAGGAGCACTTGCCTAAAATTCTTGAGACACTTTTGCCTCATGCCAAAGACAATAGAAACCAACCTCCCAGTGGAAGCTGTGGATGGAGGAAGTGTGGAGTGCCACTTGCTGGGAAGAACTAGGACCTTGGTCTGAGGGCCTTCGTTTGCATATGAAAGGGAGCCCTTACACTTACCTCAAGGGTGTTGTAGGACTATTTGCAATATATTTTGTTCAGTTGATAGGTGTGCATCAGAAAACAGTCTCAGGTCTCCCTAAGTTTTTATAATCATCTTTTGTTAGCATCTTATTGTTCCAGGAAAAAAAAAATCTGAACTTTAATTTTGTCCACTTTCCTAAGGGAAGGAATGATAGAGGGATGAAGAGAAAGGAGATATTATAAAACTGACCTAAAAGCAACTGCATCTGTTGCTATGATGCCACTCAGCTAGTTATTAAGGAAATGCGGTGTGCTAGGGCGTGTCAGGAAGGTATGGAGCCATGAGCCTCACAAACTATGTCTGTATTTCAGTGGAAGATGGCAGAGAAGTAAGGAAAGCAAGATGGGGAGAGAAAGGAGGGAAAACACTTTTGTGTATGAGCGTTTTGCCAGCATTTGTGTGCCTGGTGCCCATGGAGGCCAGATAAGGGCCTAAGAACCCCTGGGACTGCAGTTACAAACATTAGTAAGCTCCCATATCAGTGCTGGGAACCGAACCTGGTCTTCAGCCAGTGCTCTTTACTGATTCTCAGTATCTATGCTGGACAGCTCACAACTGGCTGTAACTTCAGGAAATCCAGTATTCCCTTTTGGATTTTTAACCCTTTAACCACCTCAGACTGTAATTTAAAATAAAGTGTTTAATACCAGGTTACCTAGCAAGTTTGAGGCCTGAGCTACATGAGCCCTTGTCTCAACATAAATGTGATCAGGAATATGGGACTGAGTATTCCCGTGTGTGTTCCTGTGCAAGTGAAGGCCAGAGGAAAATTCAAAAGTAGGGGAAAGAGGGTTCTCTCCTAGCATGTGGGTCTTGGGGAACTGGGGTGTGAACTCAGGTCATTAGGTTGGGCAAGAAGTATCTTTAGAAGTTGAGTCATCTTGCTAGCCGACTCTCTTTTCAGAGGTTGAGCCCTAACTCTAAGCCTCGGACATGTAAGGCAACATGTTCTACGACGCATGTCTGACATACGAACAAAGGCAAGATGAGAATGTGAGCGGTGTATGCAACTATCTGCTGAGAGTGTTCTGCTGTGGTAGAACATAAAGTACAAC